CGGGCAAAATTCAAAATTTCCTACCAATTGAAAATGTTTGGTGTGTCCCATGCTCTCATATATGACTATTATGCTGTTGCAAGTGCCGTAAAACACTTACAAGGAACTGTCCCCGTGGTTTTATGCACCCCGCATAATTTAACAATATTTGATCTTTTTTTTGCCCAATTTCTGATTATTTTGCTTTATTATTCTTTGTTAAAATTAACAGAATCGCATAATTTCACATTTTTGGGCTCAGTTTGTATAATTTTGTAAAAAAAAATGTTCATAAAAACAATGGGAACAGAAGGAGAAAAAATTAAAAAGTAACCTGGTCGTCCCATGATGTGACCTACTTGTGTGGAGAGTGGAGATCTCGTGGCTGTGTTTTGGTGACCGTCTTCACGAATGTTACTGGCAATAAATTACCATATTTTGTTCTCATCCGCCTCACACAAGAGGTCGTTATATATTTTTTCGATAGCGCTGTGTCTGTGTTATGAAATTGCTGATAGGCAGATTGATATAATTCATATAAATTGTTTTCTTTTAAATGATTCTTCAACTGAACCAAAACATCTTTCTCCTTGGCCTTGATTTTTGATAAAAAGGGAAGGTTGGAGACTGATCTGAAATTCTTAAGCTCCCCTGGGGATAGATTTTATTTTTTTGAGAAGGGGAATAACTAAAGCATGCTTTTAAAGAGTGATGGTACTACTCCAGACTGAAGAGACTCATTAATGATGGAAGTTATAAATCCAATATCACTATCAAGACGTGTGATGAGCTGTGGTGTTGGAATGGGATCAAGACTACATGTTTTAAAACTTTTATGGGGTGATGACATTGTGATTGATCTAACGTCTTATTGTGTTACATGTGCTAATTCATTAAAGATTACCCCAGAGAATTTTTCAAAACATGGTAGTTTATGGGGAGTCATGTCAATTTTTTTCCTAACTGTGGATATCTTGTCTCTAAAGTATTGACCAAAAACATCGTTGCTCAACGTCGTCTGGGGGTACTGCGGCTCTGGTGCTCTGGTGCTCTGGTGCTCTGGTGCTACTAAGGCAGAGAAGCGATCCTCCTCTCGCACTAATCAGTCACAATGTCTGGAAGAAGTAAAGGAGGAATTACTGATTATAATGTGAGACGAGGATCGTTTCTCGGCCTTAGCTGCACCAGAGCACCAGAGCCGCAGTACCCCCAGACGATGTTGAGCAACAAGGCAACCCAGCTCCAAGGAGGACTGGTTAAGGTATAACTTGTTTTGTTCTGTCCTGGTGCAGGGCTCTGTCTCTCCACACCACTATGCCGTCTGGGAAGTGCCGAAAGGCGGTCCGACCGGACCGAGACAGGACCCGACCCCTAGACCGCCACCACCACCCCCACCCGAGATGCCTCACAAGACAGATTGTTGTTTCGACGATGGTCCTGCCCACACCCTACCGGAACCCTCATCGTCACTCTCACTGGCCGGTACCCGCCACTGTTCCCACCGCCACTGTTCCCACCGCCACCATTATGCAACGAATCAACGAGACACACCCCTACCTGCGGCTCAAGAAGCACTACAGATTACAAGAGTCCTATACTATCGACCTTGAGCCGCAGCCGGGGTCAGACTTCTCACCACTACACGCATCCGTTCTAAATGACGTGGCGGAGAGAACGGATGCCCTCCTCCAAATTACCGGCCGGGAGAGAAGAAAAATCTATCTGCAGTGGGTTTCGGTAACCGTCACGCAAGAACACATCCGGATGGTGGTCAGGACCTTCGCCGAACCCGACTCGACGATCGACTTCCTCCCCAGGAGGATGGCTCCGACGACAGACACACCGTCGTGGCGGAGGTCGACCCCAACGACGTCCCCCATTACGTGAGGATCTCGGGCTGCGGGCCGGACCCCCTCAACATCAGGATAACCCTCCCCGGGCGCCGCATCGCCTGCCTCCACTGCGCCAGGGTAGACTATTACTCCAACAAATGTCCGGCCTGCAGATCCGACAACAGCGAAGACACACCCGCCACTAGGACCGCCCCCACCACAACATAACCTTCCACCTACGCCGACCAACTGAGAGGACGACGCCCCGCCACAACAACAAGACTACCACACTCTACGACCACCGACACCCCCGCGACCACCGCCACCCCCGTGACCACCGCCACCACTGCGACCACCGACACCACCACCACCAACGCTCCAACTGCCGACGCCCTTATAACAAGCCCGTCTTTAACCTGACTGCCCCTGCCACCCCAACCGCCGCCTCCGCCGCCCAACCCAAATCTCCCGCCAAGACCCCTAAGAAGACACAGCCCCCTATCAAGAGGCAGACCACAACGAAGACGTCGACAACAAGGACCCTCCAACCGCCACCAGTAACACCCCCCCCCCTCCCTCGAGGACGGTATGATAGAATTTACCAAAATTCCAAACTGGGCCGAGGAGGCGGAAAACAACACAATAGTAGACAGCGAGAGTGACAGTAGCGGACGATGACTGACAATAGACACCGACCCCGAACAGGACAAACAGGACAGATTGACGAAACAAAAAAAAAATCAAATCTTCCACTAAAACTACAGAACTCCCTTGACACAGTAACACAAAACACAAATGACTCAGGAACGGAAGAAAAAAAAGAAAAAGACAGAGACACTAACAAAGCATGACCAGTGGGCAACTTTTCTAGCATCTGCGTTTGCTGCCATTTTTTTAGTCCAAAAGTTGTCACAAAAAATGGCAAAAGTTGCCTTAAAAATTGCCATTCATTTTAAAGCTTTCACCTATCTGTGACGACGTATAGCAATGTGTTGATAGAGATAACTTAATCTGAAGCACCATCATTTTTTGTGCTCTGTCTTTAAGCATCCAGAATACCATTTGGAGTAGAGGTGAGCAAAATCCGGATAATCACCAAGGATAACCGGATAATTCTCAATGAAACATTATCCGAATTCAGACTCTTAACCTCTTTCCAGACCCGTTTGCCGAAGTGGGTGCACCCATTTGTTGAAGTAGTGCCCACCCGTTTGTCGAAGTGGTTCTAACCCATTTGCCAAAGCAGTTCATATCATATTATTTGCCGAAGAGGTGCACTAACATAGTATCCGGATTTTGCTAAAGCGACTCATTGCCCAGCCCTAATTTGGAGCCACTCGGAGTGTAAAAACTTGAAAAAATAAAGGTTTCGCAACAGAATTAAAACAAAATTAGAACAGCTCATAAACAGCCACAAAAATTAACCAATAAGTGCGTGTTTCCACTTCTCCGAAGATTGACCGTTTTAACCCTAAACGAGTGTAATTCTAGAAAAAAAAGTCCAGGATATTACATGTAACTTATGTAATCACACACAATGGGCCTGCCAGTGTCAGTATTCGATTTTGGTGGAGACATGCTGTACCAATACACATTTATACACATGGTATATATATATATATACAGTCGTAGCCAAAAGTTTAAGACCTCCCGATACTTTTTACATTTTAGCAATAAAATGAACATATTGTTCAATTATTTAAACAAATGCATGCTTTAATGGTTAAAATATGTTTATATGGTAAGCTGTTGTGAAATAGTTTTGATAAAAATTAGTACTTTGTGTGTCCAGCTTTTGCATGGATGACTGATTGAACAGGACACATTGAGCTAGCGTGCTTGTGACTGGTTTGCCAATATTCTTCTGGGGAAGTTCCATGTGTCCACACTTCCTTGATTGTACCCCTTACGGCTTTTGCCCTTGACCGCTGTTTGTTTAAGACCTTATTTATCTTTCTTGAGAGATATTTTCAGCAGGATTGAAGTGAGGGCTATTTTCAAACCACTGTAATGTCGAGACCCGTAACCTTTTAAAGGTATTATTGCACAGTCTTTGCTCTGTGGCATGAGCGCCGTCGTGCATGGACATTTTGCGTCCTTGAATATGTGCATATTTCAAATTTATCCTGAAACAGTTCCAAGAGCCTGGGCCATTCAAAGTCTATATCTAGGCTTTAAAAAATACAAGTATAACCCAGAGAGAGAGAGAGAGAGAGAGAGAGAGAGAGAGAGAGAGAGAGAGAGAGAGAGAGAGGGAGAGAGAGAGAGAGAGAGGGGGGGGAGGGAGGGTGAGGGAGGGTCGGGGAGAGAGAGAGAGAGAGAGAGAGAGAGAGAGAGAGAGAGAGAGAGAGAGAGAGAGAGAGAGAGAGAGAGAGAGAGAGAGAGAGAGAGAGAGAGAGAGAGATCATCACATTTGGCGAATGTTTCAGTGTCTGTATGGTGGTACACTTTGCGCCGTATATTTTCCCTGGTGGCCTCCTGACATGATACTGCTGAAACTGCTGCAAAGTCAATTTATCTTTGCAGTTTGCAGTCCGGTGCTCATGGATTCTTGTAAACGCCAGCCACTTCTTTTATTATTTTATCCACGGGTCAGTCTTTATTTACGGGCTGGTTTACACTCAAGATTTGATCCCAAATTCTTCAACCAACCGTCGTGAAACAATTCTACGACTCACTTTTAAACCCTTTCGAAGAAATGCAGTTCAGGTTTTCTTGCAAAAACCTGTAGTTGACCGGGGGACACTGTTTTATTTCTTGAGGCAGTCATATCTGGGGGAAGTTTTTCTGGGACGACCACTTTTCTTCTTATCACAATACGATCGATAATTTTGACAATCAACAAGAACACTGCAGATTGTGTCTTGCTACACCCTATTTGGGATGAAATCTCACGCTGTGAGTAACTTGCACTACGAAGAGTCTCTATTTGGGCTCGTTGAACGTCAGAAAGTGAGGATTTTTGTCATATTTTTGGTATATATTTATTGATAAAGAAAAAATACTTTCAAACAGGCTCATAGTCTTCAAAGTACTGACTGAATGCTCTGGGAGCACTCATTCTAAGCGTATGATGCAGAAGACCAAAAATAGTGAAAGAAATGTCAAAATAAAAGAGAAGAATGTGATACTTTGAACTAATAGAGAAATTGCATTTTAAGTTGGGTGATCTTAAACTTTTCGCCATATATATATATATATATATATATATATATATATATATATATATATATATATATATATATATATATATATATATATAAAAGGAACAACATCAAATTAAATGACATTACGCTATATAACACACAAATTAGAAAAACAACACATCAAAACAACAACAAGAAAAACATTAACACACTAACAAATTAAAACACAACAAAGAGGGAAAGATAAAAGAGAAACAGCAATATACACATGTAGTATGCAATGTACTTATATTCTTCGCATAAAAGTAACAAATCAACGTGGTGTCAACAGGTGAGAAAGAGACCAAGCGAAGCGCAAGTGAAAACAAACTTTCTTTCTCTAAGTAAAGAAATTTGGGTTCTTTCTTTTTTTTTTCCTCTTGATTTTTTTATTCCCCGGCGGTGGGTTTTTGTTGGGTTTTTTGTTTGTTTTTTGTTTTGTTGGTACAAATCCATAAAAAAAATAGAGAAAAATGCCAAAATCGCGGCCGCGATTCGCGGACCTAAAAATAAAAATGCCAAAAATCGCGGCCGCGATTCGCGGGTCGCGGCCGCGACAAACGCAGATGCTAATGCTAGACTTTTGAACTTATGACAAGCTGAGCTGTGGATAGAGAGACAGTGTGAGTGAAAGAGCGGGTGAAAGGAAGAATGTACGAGTTTATCCACAGGCGACAGCAACTAAACCAGACAACGACACCGACCCCCCTGGCCTGGTCCATAGCTCACAGAAAGGAATGCGGCTAAGGCAGTGTTTTGCCTCTATACATACTATTGTCCATGGTTCGCAGGGTGCAAGGGAATGAGTACGATTTTCTTTGTGTGTGCCTGGAGGGAGGGGGTGGGGTGTGAAAGTTATGCGGACGGGGATGAGGTGCGGGAGAGAACACGGGAATTGAATGGATGAGTGAAAGAGAGGGACGAATCATGAGCCCTGGAGTGAATGGATCCTGTGTTTCTATTTTGTATACTTTGTTGAACTGTTTCTGAATAAATGCTGAAATAAAGCCCGAAAAACAAACACACACACACACACACACTCCTCACTGCCCACTTAAAAAAAACAACAACAACTGGAAGGTCCTTTGTAACACGATAAGGTCGTCATATAAGTGTAGAAGATAGAGTAGGTACCAGAAACTAAATTTTCAAAGTAGCTGTATGCCAAATGTATCTGTTCCATTTGAAAGGCCTATATCCACTGAGCATTCTGGTACCATTCTATAACATCTCACTCTCAGTCAATTTTTAAGAAAACGGTTGTTGTTTAAAATTTGATCAAATTTGTTAAAATTTAAAGTCAGTGACTGGCTGCAAACCCATGTTTGACAGACAATAAAAGATTACCAAGTGCGCTAAACATCTCTACATTAACAGAGTACAATCCCTATAACAAATACATGTACATGTATGGACCCTAATTTTTTTCAAGACTGTGAGTAGGCAGTTCAGTGAACGAGATTGGCTCGCTGCGAAATCGGATCCTCGCCGCCCGTAGAAAACTGTGAGCGGCGGATTGCGTTGGCGATTTGGTGATTTTTGTTTCATTAAATAGTAATAACCACTACTTCTGATACATGTTTTTGAATATTTTTAAATCATCTACAAAATGGCGTCTTCCTTTGGCAGATCGGACTCGTTGAGACAGAGGTATTTTGATTTGAAAGCCAAGTTTCAACGTTTGATTTCTTTTTCCCAACTTGCGTGGCAGTTTTGTAACTTTTCTGCCAGTTAGTGTTAGAAATATTCTTTATCTTTAAAATAAGCCAAGAATGGTTGTATTTAGCCCTGTCTAACGGTGACTAGATTAGAGCCAGCGCACTTGATAGTCATTGATGATTTATAACGAAAGTTGTTTTTTAGGCAGCATCGGCCGTGCAGCGAAGCTGGGTTGCTTCGCGGAGTCGACAATGCGTTCGGGAAGGGCTGGGCAATGAGTCGCTTTAGCACAATCCGGATAACATGATGTTAGTGCACCTCTTTGGCAAAGCCAAATGTTATGAATCGCTTCAGCAAATGGACCAGAACCACTTCGACAAAATGGGTTAGCATCACTTCAACACTAATGAGTAATGTGTGCACCCACCACGGCAAACGGGTCAGGAAAGAGAGTTAAGAGTCTGAATTCGGATGTTATATTGAGAATTATCCGGTTATCCGGATATGATATCCGGATTTTGCCCACCTTCAGCTCTGGGTCTTTGCCGCATCGCACTTTTCGCCTTCCTAGTTGTTTTTTGTTTGTTTTTTTCTATTTAATATTTTCAATTTTTACTGAACAGGAGATCATTGGAGCGTACCCATGGTATAATATCTGTTCACAAAATGAAATATTATGTTTAACACTTTTGTTTTCTTTTGCCAAGGTCTGTGCACAGTGATTTTAACTTTGAGAAGATTATTTTTATTTTATAGATTCTAGATTTTCTGGAGACAGTTTAGAAAATAAGTTTGATTCTTTTGGCCCACAGTTGTACATATTATGTATCATGTATATTGAGCAGTTAGCTCTTGCTAAAGTCTAACATTCTTAGTTTTAGTCTTTGATTTTATATGCTAGCTTTTTCTCAGTTTCGTTGGCCCAAGTCTCTGCATTATCATACACCTCTTCGTCACTCGTAGATGATTTATCTGTAGAAAATTCTTTCCCTCTTTCCTCAAACTGTTCATCACTACTAGTTTTATGTTCATACAACTGTCTGGTCACAATGAAAATTACTTGGAATAGCATCTACGATCTAGTAGGCCTCTTATATTAGGCACTTGGATATCGGCCCGCGCGGCCCGAGATTTTCGTTCACCTGCGGCCGCCGCGTTTTGTGTCAGAAATCGGGCCCCGTGAGGGGGGTACCTATTTGTTTTGTTTCGTTTATAGTGTTCTTTTCAATTTATGGATTACTTCCGCCTATCAAATTAAAGAGGAAAGAAAGGCGCGTATTATGGCGTTTTCCACTTCGGGATCGGTTGTGTGTGTTCGGAGTTACAAGGAGTTAAAAATAAGGTAAGTTCAAGCCTTTATATTTAAAGAGTATATCTTTTTTTTTTTAGGTACTCCTCACAGTCTTTTCTTCAACCTTTTATCTCTTTTATTTGTTAATTTCAATGTTGTACGTTGAGGCATAAGCGTGTGAGCCCTAATTTAAATAGGTCACTCTCCATGAATGGGCATGACCTATTATCGATCGCGCTGCTGAGCGTGAACCGGGAGGTCATGGCGGCCATTGCGGAAAGCGAACTTAACCCACGCTAACGTGTATTGTTGGCGTTTATTACCTCTTAAACGGCATTGAAGAATGTTTTATAGTAGAAGATATGATTTATTTTAAATTTTGGAATGTAATATGTATCACTGTTGTATAGTTCTTATGAATTTGAACCATGTAACAATCAGTAAGGAGTCTTGGGTGGGGGGAGGGAAATGTAACAGCCTTGGCCTTGTTTTGTTTCTGTGTTACTGTCACTGTTAGACCATCGATTTCACGCAAGTTTTTACTTCTTTTGTGTGCTTATATTGTCTTTAAATATTTTTTCTTCTTAATTGTTTTTGTGTGTACTTGTTATTTAAATATCTCTTTAAATTATCATGTACTTTGTCCAGTTTGTTTTAAGATAGATCTACATGTTTATTAGAAGATGTTTTTTCTCTTGTCTAGTCATCTACACCCTCCCTTTACTAGAGTTGTAGTGTGAAAATGTCAAATTTCCATCCACTGCTCACAAATGAATTTATTTACTTCATTGATGAATTCATTGCTTTGCTTTTTTTTTTCTTTCCACAGCCCCTGATCACAACCTGCCACTGTTCCATTGGATTTATTGACAGCTCACCAGAATAAATCCTGACTTTAATTAAAATCCAGAAATGCTTGCGGAGTTGGTCGAATTCACAGAAAAACTTGTTTGAACAAGTTGCAAAAAAATTGAGCACTTAAGAAAGCATTTGTTGCAGACAAGGAAAAAAAATTGACATTAATTTAACAATATCAAGTTGGCAGACTGGGTGAACTAAACAATTGCCAGAAATAAAGAAAGAATAAAAAAGTATCGTGACACAATTGCGTGCTTCAAAAAACATGTCATATTTCACAACTAATTGTCTTTGAAGAAGTTGAACATTTAAATAAACACAATAAAAATATAATGAAAAACTTGCTGAACAAACTGAAGTAATAAAATTAGAAGAGACTATTGTTTAACTTACAGGGCAATCTCATGAGTTAAAGACATAAAAGAGAAATCAAAGATAAAGACAGAGTAATTGATCATTTACATGACAAATTAAAACATGAAAGAAACATTCTAACAATAACATGCAAAAGGAATTTAAAAAACAGTATTATCATGAATTAAGGTAGACTAAAAACACTAGTTTGCAGCAGCTGTAGACACAAATGTTAACTTTAAAAACTTCTATGCTCATCTTATTTTAGGCGACCAGCTGTTTTGTTAAAATATATTTTATTTTTTAATCAGTTTTTTTGTTAATTCTACTGATATTTGATATGTAGAGTAGATGTTCCAAAAGAAAGGACTTAAAAAGACCTTCAAAACGATACCTCAATTATTGATGTAGCTTAATTTATAAGAAAGTTATGGCAAAATATATTGACCGCAGGACGGTGCGGTCACGTTACACAACACAGTGTTGCATAATATTACCCAATATTACCCACCACGACATATTTTAAAAATCTCGTCTGACTGTTATTTTGTCCTCAACATCACAAGGTTTCAGAAAATGTTTGGTTTTTGCATGTACGCAGCAGCATATTGAAGCAGCTAACATTTCCCTTGTTGTCCTTGCTGTTTCGATCACAAAAATTGCCTTTTTTTTCTATATAGATGTTATCCCCTCGAAAAGATCTTTAAAATGCCATATCTCAAAAACGGTTCAACATAGAGCAATAACTAAGGTAGCGTTGGAATCGTGTCACTGAGCTCTTTGCATTGGTATTGTTTTTAAAGCAATTTGAAAGCTTTGAAATTTTTATCCAAGTGCCTACTTATATATATGTGATTTTCAATGAAATATTTTTTTCGTGCTTGATTTATTTTTTACCTCAATTTGTTCTTTTCTCCTTTTCTCCTTTTCTAGTGCAGTTTGAAATTTTGTTATCCTCTTCTTATATTCTCTTTTAAAAATGTGTTAGACAATCAAAATGATACATGACACGTGCACTTTGGACTATTCCATGTTGAAATATCATCACTTATTTTCAAATTTATCCTTTTTCGGACTCATGAAAAATGACCCCGCTCTCAATCTACTTACCATGTCAAAGAGATTTATGAGACAAAACTGTTTCTGTTTCTTTCATATATGAAAGTACACATAATAACCTTTTCATTTGATGCAAAAAAACAGGAAGATATCTTTTCTTTGTTGTTTTTTTTGGAAAGTGTTTTACGGCGCTCGCAACTGCATAAGGTCATATGAGCGCGCGGGACACACCAAACATTTTCAGTTGGTAGGAAATCTTGAATTTTGCCCAGGTGGCGGCGGAAGCCTACTCTTATCGATTTTAGACCACCAAGGGATCTTTAACGTGCGCAACTTGCACTCGGGCCCTCCGAGATTTTTCGCCCTTGTCCGAGAAGGCTAGGTGTAGATCTTTCCTACCAGAAGATAAGGGGTGTGGCAGAAAGACAGCAGTAAGGAGGAGCCAAGGAGTAGCAGTAGAAAGGCTGCAGAAAGAGTCAGGAGCCCAGAGGATGGGGCAAAGGAGGTGAGGGGGTGGGGGCAAAAAGTGGAAATGAAAGCAGACAACAGAACATTGCTAGAGAGCAGGAAAGGAGGTGAAAGGAGACAATTTTAGAGAATAAAATTTTTCGGTCGCTACCCGGATTTGAACCCGGGACCTTTGATTGAGAGGCCAACACCTTAACCTCTAGGCCACGAGAGCCCCCAAGATATCTTTACAGGTTGCGAAGTTAAGTACATTTTATTTGATTTTTGTCCTCCTTTAGTCACAAAATGTAGTGCAAAAAAAGGACCAGATTTTGAGCGAAAAATAAAGTTTTAAAAAAATCCCATAGCTTCTCAACCAATACAGATATTGACAAAATTCAAAAAGTACTGTGATCAGTGTGGCAGGACCTTTCATTTGAGCCTATGTTCATCAAAATCTAACAACTTTGAGTTTTTCACTGAACTGCCTACTGTGAGATCATTACAAATCAGTATTTTATCGCCTGAAACACGCTGTTTTGTCGTTATTTTGACAAAAACCACCGAGCGTTGAGTTGACCCGGCCGGCGCCTTACCGGCCCCCGCGGAGAGCGAGTCGGGTCTATACTGTAGTGTACCCCGCGTGCAGGGTCACATGCTTTCCGAGTCTGGCGGAAGGATTGATGTAAAATAATTTCTAGCTGATTGATTTATACTAATAGGAAATAAACTGATCTTTTAATTAATACTTTTTTAAAGCCGGTATTTTACATATCCATTTTGTGTAAAAAGTGGTCTTTAAACATTTTGACAGTATTGTTAAAAGCTTTCTATTTAAACGTCAAAGGCCAAATATATATGTACCACGGGAAAGCCCGTTTAAAGCTCTACAGTTCTCCGCCAATGAAAAGACGGTATTTAATCATCCCTTGTTCCGCGAAGCATTTGAATGCATGCATGTCAACTTTTGAACCGGCCGACCACGCATTCCGACCGCTAAGGGCTTCGCTTTCGTCGGTGATTCTCCAGCTCCTAATAATCGGACATATAAACAACTTACACCATTGTAACGAGGAAAAGCTGAACTTTTACAAAGTGTACGGCATTTGGTGTTTTATAGCGAAAGAGCAAAGAAACAGCGATCGGAATTAAGCGGATTTCACCGATACCACGCGGTCGGAAGGCTGTGAGTGCCCGCTAGGCCGTGTTTACGCTACCTAATTAGAGGTATTACAAGAGAGTAACAAACGCAAAAAAGAAGGAGGGGAGATAAAGATCACAGATGTTTGATAGGAAAGAAGAGCAAACCACACCAGAGCACCCGCCGACCACCCACACCAAAATCTTTGTTTGTTCTTTTGGTTGGAACTGTAAAAAACAATCCGTGTTTCTTTCTGGATGTAACTTTAGGGTTTTGTGGAAAGATCTAAAATCTTACTTGTGGGTGGTTGGCAGGTGCTGTGGTGTGGTTTGCTGCTTCTTCTTTCCTATCAAACATCTATCATCCTTATTCCCCTTCTTCTTTTTTATACATGTTTGTAAACTCTTGTGTAACACCTCTAATCTTCTGGCGCTCATATGACCTTATGCAGTTGCGAGCGCTGTAAAACCTCTACTAAAACTTACTTGGTTCTTTTTTTACTTGGCAATCTTTCGAAGACCAAAATTCTTTTTTCTTTGTAGTTGTGCACTATATTTAGTGTGTACCTGTGGGGGCCAGTTCATTGGTAGTATTATAACGAGAAAAATTTACTTTGGTAAGGACTGTACAACTCAGAAAGATCATAGATGGCAGTGTGAAAGCGCAAATACTATGTTTTTATCTATAGGCGTTCCTACATATATGTACATTGGCAATTCCTGGCGATAAACGAGGTTGACGGTATAACGAGGGGCGGTATAACGAGGTTTGACTGTACTCTGGTCACATGTTTTACTGCAATGTGATATATATGCCTGCATGTTTGAAAAAGTAGAAGAGGCTTATTATAAAAAATATATATATGAGATTTAAAAAAACTTATGGACCAAAGATGTGAGAGTGTATGGGCTGCTAGATTTATAGTGGGACAGCAGCATTTTGCCTGGGGCTAAGATTAAGATTCTTGTGATGAGCCATTGTATTAATTTTATATTAATTATATAAATTATGTATTATTCTTGTCTATTTCCAGGTGGTGTTTCTTTCGACCACTGTCTGTCAAGCTCCACACATTCAGCATTACAGCAATCCCTTATTTATGAAGAAGAACCTTGGAGTCAGCTCAAAGTTTCAAATTTAAGTGAGTGGAGAAAGGTTGAATGTGTCTCAGAAGAAACCACTTCTTCTGTTATCCGCAAACCAGAAGAAGCCTTTGATTTCCGTAATGGCAAAGTGTTTGATAAAGAAATGTGCAACAACAACAATAGTGTTAATGATGGTTGTGGCCAGAAGCCAAAAGATTGCTCTTCAGCTGTAAAGATGAAAATGGTGAATTCCAGTATGGAAATAAATCCTGTGTGTCATAGTTCTTGCTCTCGGTCGTCTGGTGTTACAGCACCAAAGCTGCACGCACAGACTCACACCGGACAAGATAGTGGCGCTCATCGTGTTGGATTCAAATTTGTGAGTGGCAGAATAAAACAAGGGCGGGAGAAAAGCCTTGCAAATTTGAAGTTTGCGGTTCAAGGTTTGCAAAAAGAGTGACCAGCTAAAGTGTCGCAGGAGAACACAAAATTATGTTAGAAAAGCCTTACAAGTTCAAGTGTATAATCTGTGGAGTTGTGCTGAAATATTTGGATTGCCTAAAGACTCACGAAAGAACTGACACTGGATAAAAGCCTTACAAGTGTGAAGTTTGTGGTTCTGGGTTTACACAAGCTAGCATGCTAAAGATTCACCAGAGAAAACACACTGGAGAACAGCCTTACACGTGTGAAATTCTGAAACGGCATAGAAAAATACACACAGGAGAAAAACCTCACAATAAATGGGAAAACTGTGGAGTTGGGTTCATACAAAAGAACAGTCTACAGGCTCACAAAAGATTACACACTGGAGAAAAGCCTTTCAAGTCTGAAATTTGTGATTCACAATTTGCTAGGAGTGACTATCTTAAGGCTTACAAAAGAACACACAATGGAGAAAAGCCTTACAAGTGTGAAGTTTATGGTGCAACGTTTGCACAGAGTAGCAGCCTAAGAAAGCACCAAAAAAACGCACTCAGGTAAAAATGCCGCTCTTGAAGTTCATGGTTCGGGATTTGCGTGCAGTAGCAACACTGAAACAACACAAGAGAACACATTCAGGAACAAAACTGCGGGTGGTTGGAGGGTGTCACTGGTAGGGCCTGTGTCTTTATTTCCCTTTGATGGTTCTGTGTACATATGTAGAAAAAAGAAAAGGGAACGCATTACTCCCATGTTTAGAACATTACATTGACTTCCTGTGTCAACTAGAATATAATATGAAATTACAATATTATGCCACATGTGTCAGTAACAAGGCTCACTCATATCTTAACTAAATGATCGCGGGACCTTACGGAATCCCCTTTTTTTTCTCTATGTAAACTCAATTACCTGTGCTCGGGTTTAGCGGGGCAAGGAAAGGCCCGAACTCGGATACAGCGGGAGAGATCGAGCGAACTGTAGCTAGGGGGAAAGGGTGTTTGCCGGCCTTAGGCGGGCTCCAAACAGGCAGTCAGCGATGTGGCGTTGTGATTGGCCAGTCCAGTGATGAGTGAGGTGGGGCAGGCGGCAGAGAGAGATGGTGTGGAGAGGCGCGTTACGTGGGCCACTCCTAAAGTGATGTGCCGTAGCTTAAAGGCTCAGTATGAGAAGGTGTAGGTCATGGCCATAGCCCTAGGCCAAGGCTAGGCCAAAAAGTAAAAGAAGAGGAATTGCTCTATAGACATACGCACGCATCCACTTCACCAGTTCTACAGTTGCTCCTCCGGTACGATAGACAGCACAAGCAACGATACCGAGGAAAAGATGGCTTCCAACAATGACAGAAGGAAATGATTCTCACTCGAATTAAAAGCCGAGATAGTCAACAAAGTAGACAAGAAAAGGAAGACTAATCAAAAGCGCAAATTTGATTATATATGGAATGGAAGTATTCATGTGGATTTTTAGAAGTTTTTCGGTTATTTCCCCCTTTGCGTTCCTGCTATATCAAGTTCTCTCCAGTTGGCTCTACATTTTTGCTGGACAAGATGGTTGTACTCCCGTTTCTTCTCCTGTCTTTTCTGATCCAGTCTAGTCGTCCTTTCAGGCGTGCCATCTTTTTGCTTCTGAACATCTTCTTGCTGTTTGCTGTTTGATGAAAAAAAACAACAACCCACAAAAGCGTCAACAACTTCTTCTACAAAAATCATTCTTTTTCTATATTCCATCAACACAGAATGACCCTCTTACACTTACCAAGGGGGCTATCGTGGTCCAGAGGTTGAGGTGTTGGCATATTAAAATTATTCAAAGGTCCCGGGTTCGAATCCGGGTAGCGACCGAAACATTTTCTTCTCTAAAAATAATAAAATTGTCTCCTTTCACCTCCTTTCCTGCTCTCTAGACATGTTCTGTTGTCTGCTTTCGTCGTCTCTTTTTGCACTTGCACCCACCCACTCACCTCCTTTGCCCCCTCCTCTGGGCTCCTGACTCTTTCTGCAGCCTTTCTTCAGCTACTCTTGGCTCCTTCTTACAGCTGTCTTTCAGCCACACCTTTGGTCTTCTGGTGGGAAAGATCTACATCTAGCCTTCTGGGACAAGGGCGAAAAATCTCGGAGGTCCCGTGTGCAAGTTGCGCACATTAAAGATCCCTTGGTGGTCTAAAATCGATAAGAGTAGGCTTCGGCCGCCACCCGGGCAAAATTCAAAATTCCCTACCAACGGGAAAAAAAGTTTAAATCCGCGCGTTCGTGTGACCTTGTACAGTTGCAAACGCCGTAAAACACTAACAAAAAATAAAGACCCTTTCAGATATGGGCAAATTTCAAACCGGTCGGGTTGATTTTAGCACGAAGTCTTCTCACTCTTCTTTTGTACGTTTCTACATCAGAGAAAGGGATACTTGCAACTGCAACATCGTTGAAAGACACAGCAATGGGTGTTTCCCCAGCTTCTTTCTTTTCCCAGTAGTGCTGTCTGTTCTTTTCATTTACTCTTGTCTTTTTTGGTGACTCCAGTTGGCTCTACTTTTTTGCTGGACAAGATGGTTGTATTCCCCTTTCTCCTCCTTTCTTTTCTGATCCAGTCTAGTCGTCCTAGCAGGTGTGTCATCTTTTTGCTTCTTTTTCTTGCTGTTTGATGAAAAAAAAACAACCCCACAAAAGCGTCAAAAACTTCTGTAACAAAATCATTTTAAAAAATATTCCACCAACCCAGAATGACCCTCTTCTTACTCTTACCAAGGGGGCTCTCGTGACCTAGAGGTTAAGGTGTTGGCTTCTTATTTATTCAAAGGTCCCTGGGTCGAATCCGGGTAGCGACCGAAACATTTTCTTCTCTAAAAAAATTGTCTCCTTTCACCTCCTTTCCTGCTCTCTAGCAATATTCTGTCGTCTGCTTTCGTCTTCTCTTTCTGCCCCCACCCCCTCACCTCCTTTGCCCCCTCCTCTGGGCTCCTGACTCTTTCTGCAGCCTTTCGACAGCTACTCTTAGCTCCTCCTTACTGCTGTCTTTCACCCACACCCTTGATCTTCTGGTAGGAAAGGTCTACACCTAGCCTTCTCGGACAAGGGCGAAAAATCTCGGAGGTCCCGTGTGCAAGTTGCGCACTTTAAAGATGCCTTGGTGGTCTAAAATCGATAAGAGTAGTGAGTAGGCTTCGGCCGCCACCCGGGCAAAATTTAAAATTTCCTACCAACTGAAAAAGTTTAGTGTCCCGAGCGCTCATATGCCCTTATGCAGTTGCGAGAGCCGTAAAACATTTAGCGAAAACAAAATAAAACTACTGAAAACAACAACAACAACAAAAAACTCTTAACAAACCTGGCGTGGACCGACATCTGTGTTGTGGTTAGGCACCTTGCTGTCTCGCGCAAGAGACCCGAGTTCGATTCCCGAGTGGGGCACTAACTCTGACCAAGGGTGTTGCTCCTGGGAATCTTATAGTAATAGTGAGCTTATTTCTTTCCTTTAAAAGACTACCAAAAGTGCTGTTCAAGGAGGTGGAACACTGTTTGGCTAGTTCTTTAATATGCGCAGCAAAATCAGTTTCCGTTTGGGTGGTGAATACCATGTTGCCGGTTTTACAGTTAATGTAACCGATTGTGGCCTGTGACTCTTTATTTCGTCTAATCAATACTCCATTCCTTCTCACCTGTTTGTTCAAATTATGCCAACAAACGCTGTTTGACTCTGGAAATGAAATGATGATTTGATACAAAACTCTTTGGACAAGTTTTACAGAACAAATTCTTCTCAGTTTCCATTTTGTTTGTTTGGCGGAGACCCGAGATCACGTGTAAAATACGTACACAGTGAAAACATGCTCAAAGCATACCCCCCCCCTAAAAAAACCCCATACCCCCCAAAAAAAACAAAACAAACAAAACGAAAACAAAACAACAACAAAAAAACACAATGAACGTCAAATGTGAGAGTTTGACAAAAAGCGACGGTTGCTATTGTGATGCCTCAAAATAAGTTAGATACACACGGATAGTCTAGCACAACAATCGTACACTGAATACAGCAACCGACCATGTTTGATGTTTATGACACAACTGAATCATAATTTTAATTGCTCATCCTGAAGAGTACCAAATTAATACATTCAAACAAGGAGATATGACTACGGCAATTAACAATAGTGAACCAAACACAGTAATATTACAGGGATAATATTACCGCTACCGTGCAAAGTTGTAGAACTCGCAAGGCTCTTCGTCGTTGTTGAACTTTCTCTGTCTCCGAGCTTCGTACACTTGAGCTGTTCTGGTGATACAACATTCTCAATGTCGGTGGGTTCAGTGTACACTCGGTGTTCTTTAGTGTTGAAATCTTGAGTACGGCAACCAGCGGTGTCACTTCTCCCTGTTGCCCAAGAGTCCATGGCAGTAAATGTCCGTGTGGCGTAAGTAATAACATTTTCTTTGTACATTTCTTTGTAAAAACGACTAGCTGCTTTCCGCTCGGAATCACTCCTCTTTCATAGTCTTAAAAACACCAACATCCAAAGGCTGAAGGATGAGGGATGAATGTGGCGGTAAGCAATACCGTACCGGTACCACTCCATTGTCTAAACACAGTTCTGAGGCTTGTAATGATTGATGACTTACAATACATGGCCATCAACCAGCAGCAAGCTTGGCTTTTGACTTTGACAGTCTGAGGAATGAAAACCAAATGCATCCACTTGAAGAACGGGCCCTGGTTGATCCACCCATTATCTGACCCTCCAATAAATGAATAATGGAAAACTTCGTTCGCCTTGGCCTCGTGTAATGGCCAGTTGCTCTGCAACAGACCTATGCAGTGATGAGTATTTTTGCTTCACTGCCTATCTGGTATACATATTTTGTGTCCAGGTTCGAGAGGACCCTGCCAGTAAGTTACAACGTTCAGGCTGAATCCTGATTCGTCGCAATTATAGATGCGGTCCGACTCTAACAAAATGGATGGGTCGATCGTTATAATTGCCTCACTGAATTGTTGAAACCAAGTCATAATATTACCACGTGATACAACAGCTCTTTGCTTCCCAAGTAGTTGAGGTTTTTTGAACACGATCTCGGGATGTCGTTTTCGAAACAACCAAACCTTTTGTCTGATGGTTTGTTGTCATCCCAAATGGTTTCCATTTTGTTGTAGTCCAACATTTGCTTTACCACCGCCAGTAGCTCATCTTTTGTTTTCCCAAAACCTCGGTCCCCCATTTCTTTCACATAAGTCACAATATCCCTTTCTTTTTCAGTTGTGAGAACTGCTTTCTGATGTTGTTCTATTTTCCGTCATCCAGGCGACTTGTCCCAGAAAGTACTCATCGGTACACCATATTTTTCGACCGTTGATCGCTCTGGCGCACGATGTTTCACCTCATCCAGTGCTTTGGTCAGATTGTCAGTTGTGAGTATAAAACAAAGACAGAAAAGAATATGAGTCCTCGCCGAAGGGAGTTAAAAAAAATAATAAGCTGTTGTTGTGGCCGGTCAATACTCCGTTCCTTCCCACTTGTTCGTACAAAGTATGCGAACAAACGCCGTTTCTTCAGTGGAATTTCTCTTCCGATCTCTTCACCGTGGGGTTTACTGTTGTGTCTCTCCAGTTCCACCCTCCCCAAAAACGAGGGTCCTTAAAGGCCACCCATGTACTTCGTTCTGTGATTGTGAACAGAAATTGTATGACTCTGTAAATGATGATTTGATACAAAACTCTCTGAACAAGCTTTACAGAACAGGTTCTTCTCAGTTTCTATTTTCTTTGTTTGACGGAGACCTGAGATCACTTGTAAAATACGTACACAATGAAAACAAGCTCAAAGCATTGCTACCCCCCCCCCCATTAAAAAAATAAAAAAATAAAAAATAATGATA